AGCCCCAGGCCCCCGAGCTCTGACTGGGGTTCCCGGGTTCTCCTGGCCGTTGCCTGTCCTGAACTGCGGGGCAGCCCACTCCGGGTGCAGTCGGAGGAGGGCTCCTCACAGGAAAACCAGGGGAGAGAGCCAGGGAGGGGCTGCGGGCCCAAGCCCCGGTGCAGATGGCTCCCCGCCATCAGGAGGCTGGCTGGATCCTGGAGGGGTGAGTGGTGATCCCAGGCTCCTGCTTTGAGAGTCAGGCAGACAGGAAAGGAAGGTTGTACACAGGGTAGTCCGGGAGGGTTTCCAGAGACGGGGACACTGAGGCAGGAGGGGCAGCGCATGAGTCCCACAGCTGGTGCTCACGCGCACGTGGCCTCTGGGCCCGTGTGTCCTGCTGACGCCCCCGCCCTCCTCACAGAAGGGTTTGGCAGGAGGAAGAAGACGGCCCTGTGGTTTGTGGGGTCTCTGCTGGCACTGTCCACCCTCATCGTGACCGTCGGCCTCGCTGCCACCACCAGGGCGGAGAACGTGAGCGTGGGCGGCTACTACCCAGGCATCATCGTGAGTTCTGAGTGCCCGAGTGCCGGGCGGGCAGGGTGGGGCAGCCGGGTGCCTCTCTGGAGGGTGGCGGTGCACATGGGCCCACGGCCGGGCTAGGGCAGGAAGTCCCACAGCGTTAGAAGTCGCGGAGCAATGATGGGAAGATTCTGCGTCTAGCCCCAGACCCTGTGGCCGCGGGCCGGGGAAGGGTGTCCGGGTAGGTCCGAGAAGAGCAAGTACCAGCGTGCGCTCCTAGGCCCTCGGGTGCAGGGCCTCAGCGGACTGTGGGAGCTGGGGCAGCCAGCCCTGGTGCCCCGGACTTAGCTGCTGGGGCTGGGGTCTGGGGTCTGGGTGCTCCCCTGCCCCCGACACCTGGATCTCAGCTGCAGGGGACGGGATTGACCAAAGCGCTCCTGGAAGACGGAGTGGCTGGGCGCTTCCTGCCAAGCAGCCTGGGCTGGAGCGTGTACGAACCTCGTGATGGTCTGGGCAGGAGGAAATGTGGTCCCGGTCCGTCCCCGTCCTCAGGTCAGACCCGGCCAGCACGCTCACCCACGCGCGAGACTCTTGAGAGGGCACGTTTAGCTGTGACACCCCGCACAGGCTGGCAGCGTGCTGCTCAGTCACCGCGGGGGGACGCCGTGATCACCGGTCACTCTCAGGGGACGCCTTGGTCATTGGTCACTGCTGGAGGGACACTATGGTCACTGGTCACCATGGGGGGGACGTTGTGGTCACCGGTCACTGCTGGAGGGACACCGTGGTCACCGGTCACCACGGGGGGGAACATTGTGGTCACCGGTCACCGCTGGGAGCGCCATGGTCACCGGTCACCGTGGGGGGGACACCGTGGTCACCGGTCATCGTGGGGGACGCCGTGGTCACCGGTCACCGTGGGGGGGACACCGTGGTCACCGGTCATCGTGGGGGGGACGCCGTGGTCACCGGTCAATGCAGGGGGACGTTGTGGTCACCGGCCACTGTGGGGGGG